GCCGGTTCACGGTCTCTCAGACTGTTGGGGGGACGGACTACAGTTTGAAAAAAACACGAATGAATTCCTATGCACACCACATGTATCTCATTTGTAGTGCAAAAAAAGAAGAAGCATGAATTAACAACACAATATTGTTGCACTCTGAGACTGGGAAACCACCTCTGTACTTAACACACACTCCAGTCCAAGGTAAAATAGCAAAGCAGTTTATTGAAGAATATATATGAAAAGCAATTCAGCAAAAAGCAGAAAAAAACATAGTCCAAATATCAAGAATAATCCACAGAGATTACAGTACAGGAATAGAATCAAAAACCAAGAATATGAAAGCAGAAAAAATCCAAAATATGAGATTCAAGAACAGTCCTCAAAACTTGGAATCATCAAACATGAACAAAATTAAACATGAAACTAGAAATCCCTTGACTTGACAGTAGCTCTATACTCAAACGCCAATGTTGCCTGGATTAAAGGACCCATCACTGGGCTAGCTAATACAGAGAGAAAAACATGCCTTCTCCTCTGGGAAACTGATAAGGATTTCTTGGCCAATAGGCATTCAACCTTCATAAACTTTCCTGAGAAGCTCTATGTTGACGGAACATAAATCTCCTGTCTAACTGTTCATTAGTCTGTTTGCCTGGACTTTCTGTTTCTCCTCTGAACTCAGATCTGTTTTTGACCTTGCTTCCCGAGTGAACTACCCTTCAGGAATGTGGCTTTCAAACACAGACCGCTCATTTTAAGGGCACAAAATCTCTTGCTGGCTCTCCTGCTTTCAGAACCAGAATCCCCAGTGTCCTCAGAATGACTAGCAGGCCCAGAATTCCCAGAGAGTCCTCTGGGAATTCTGGGCATAATCAAAAGCTGAACTACAACAAATATTTAATATGAAGAATAATTTTAGCCAACATAAACTTACTAGTATTTCAATGGGAAACATGGGCCTGCTCTTGGCTGATGAGAGAGTCAAGTGAATTAGGATTGTTGTTGTCGTGTGCCTTCAAGTTGTTTCAGACCAAGGGCAACCTTACATCTAAAGTTTGGTGTGGGGGGCAGGTAAATGGCCTTGAAGGGTCACATCTGGTTCATGGGCCTTAGTTTGGGAACCCTGCTCTACAGCACCTAGGATTCATTTGTAGTCTCTCATCCAAGTACTAACTAGGGATTAAGGAGAAGGTACATATTGAAGGTACATACTGAACATTAGAAAGAACCTCTTGACTGTAAGGAGAGCTGGGTTATTGTAGGTTTTTTCGGGCTAGGAACTAGGAAAAAGGGTTTATATATCTGTCTGTCTGCTGGAGCTAGGTGTGAATGTTTCAACTGACCACCTTGATTAGCATACAATGGCCTGACTGGAGCAAACGTTTGTTGAGAGGTGATTAGATGTCCTTGTTTGTTTCCTCTCTGTTGTTGTGCTGTTGCAATTTTAGTTTTTTAATACTGGTAGCCAGCTTTTGTTCATTTTCATGGTTTCCTCCTAATCACCTCTCAACAAAAGTTTGCTCCAGGCATAGTCAGGCCATTGTATGCTAATCAAGGTGGTCATTTGAAGCATTCACACCTAGCTCCAGCAGACAAGAGTCCTTTGTCTCACCCTGGTCATTCCACAGATATATAAACCCTTTTTCCTAGTTCCAACAGACCTCGCTACCTCTGAGGATGCTTGCCATAGATGCAGGCGAAACGTCAGGAGAGAATGCCTCTAGACCATGGCCATATAGCCCGAAAAAACCTACAACAACCCAGTGATTCCGGCCATGAAAGCCTTCGACAATGTAATGAGAGCTGTTCAGCCATGGAACTCTCTGCTTCCGTGTGGTGGAAGCTCCTTCCTTGGAGTCTTTTAAATAAAGACTGGATGGCCATCTGTTGGGAGTGCTTTGATTGTGCTTTTTGTGCGTGGCAAGGCATTGGACTAGATGACTCACATGGTCTGTTCCAACTCTATTATTCCACGATTCTATGATTCTATTCTAGGTAAGTCTCCCTTAAGATCTTCAGTAAACAGTGCACAAAATGATCACTTTCCCCTGTAAACAGATGCATATGCTATTTCTGTCTTGACCTCTCCCTTTAATTACTGCTTTCCTGGGTGTTTTGTAACTTCATCTGAAGCCTTTTTAAAACCCCAGAGTAAGTGCACCCCGGTATATACTAGTATTGTCTAAGCTGACAGATTTGGGAGTTATAGTGTGTGTGTGTGTGTGGGGGGGGGGGGGGGGGGGGGGTGGTAATGAAAGGGAAGGAAAGGAAAGTGTGATGATTTCATTGAATACAAAGAAGTAGCAAGGTTTACATTTGCTTTCACTGTGAAGAAAGAAGTGCGCCTTTTCCTCCAGGCCTGGCCCTAAGTTGTGTTAAGTATTAGCACATGGAAGTAATCTGGGAAACATTTGCAGAGCAATGAGACAATGCTTCAGAGAAAACTGGGATGAAGTGAAATGTGAAAAGTGAAATAAAGACCAGACATATGTGCAAGTCAGTCTGCTAAATCCGTCTGCAAAACTTCGAAGTCCCAAGAGTCAGATCTCATATGGAAGGATTTTGAGAGGCTGGGAAGAAAGAGGTTAGCATTTCCCTGACATTTACTACATAGTTTTTCTTTTGCTGCTAAAATACCCTGACTCTTATTTGGTCACCAGCAACTGGATTAAATAGCAGAGCGATTGGCTCAGGATCAACAGCAAGGACAAATCTCTGTTATTCTTTGGCAGAAGTATTTGCTTCATATCTGCAAATGCTTCACCCAGAGCATGATTCTATGCAACCTTTTGGAGGGAGCAAATATCTTAGCATTTAAACACCTAGACCCTCAACACTATCAGAAAAACTAAAGAACTCTGCAGAAAGAATTTAAAAAAATGCTTTTTCCATCTGCCCATTAGTCCCTATGGTTCACTGCTAATAGTAATGGTAGGTAAAGAGGTAAAGGTTTTGCCCTGACATTTAGTCCAGTCGTGTCCAACTCTGGGGTGGTGCTCATCTCCATTTCTAAGCCAAAGAGCCGGCGTTGTCCGTAGACAACTCCAAGGTCATGTGACCAGCATGACGACATGGAGCGCCATTAGATTCCCACCAGAGCAATACCTATTGATCTACTCGCATTGCATGTTTTCGAACTGCTAGGTTAGCAGAAGCTAGGGCTGATTGCGGAAAGTTTAACCCACTGCGCCACTGGGGGCTCCATAGTACTTTATTATTTTTGAAGTAAATTAAGTAGTATTCCGTCCCAAAGGTCCTGTCCTAGATATACAACTGGATAGAACCAAAAATTATTATTTTAACTATATTTAATAATTGACATCAGTTGATATACCAGATATACATTTGGAAGTTGTAGTTGCTGGGATTTATAGTTAACCTTCAATCTAAGAGCATTCTGAGTTCCACCAATGATGGAATTGCATCAAACTTAGCACACAGAACTCCCTAACCCTAACCGTAACCCTAACCCATGACCAACAGAAAATACTGGAAGGGTTTGGTGGGCATTGACCTTGAGTTTTGGAGTTATAGTTCACATCCAAAGTTAGGCGATCCCTCGTAGTTCGAGGATGATGGTCCTCCAAGTTCGGTGTTCTGGCAGTGGGTCCGTAGGTGACTGTGGAGCCCTATTCTTGATCTGCATCTTCTTCCGCAATGAGGGTATTGGTTTCCAGGTGGAAGGCGGTCTCGGTTGAGGTTGGCTTGATGCGCCTTCCTCTTGGCACGTTTCTCTCTTTCACTTCATTTGTGCCTCTTCAATTTCTGCAGCACTGCTGGTCACAGCTGACCTCCACCTGGAGCGCTCAAGGGCGAGGGCATCCCAGTTCTCAGTGTCTATGCCAGAGTTTTTAAGGTTGGCTTTGAGCCCACCTACATCCAAAGAGCACTGTGAGCTCAAACAATGATGGATCTGGACCAAACTTGGCACGGATCCTCAATATGCCCAAATGTGAACACTGGTGGGGTCTGGGGAAAATAGACCTCGACATTTGGGAGTTGTAGTTGCTGGGATTTATAGTTCACCTACAATCAAAGAGCATTTTGAACCCCACCAGTGATAGAATTGGGCCAAATTTCCCACACAGAACCCCCATGACCAACAGAAAATGCTGTGCTTTCTGATGGTCTTTGGCAACTCCTCTGACACCCCCTTGCGACCCCACCAGTGGTTCCAACCGCCAGGTTGAGAAGCGTTACACTATATCAGGGGTCCTCAAACTAAGGGCCAGTATCCGAATACAGCCCTCCAAGGCCATTTACCCAGCCCTAAGTCTGAAACGACTTGAAAGCACACAACAACAACAACAACAACAACAATCCTATCTCAGTCAAAAGCAGGCCCAGACTTCCCATTGAACTACTAATAAGTTTATATTTGTTAAAATTGTTCTTCATTTTAATTAGTGTATTGTTTTTAAGTGTTTTTGCACTAGAAATAAGATATGTGAAGTGTGCATAGGAATTCATTCATGGTGTTTTTTTTCTCCAAACAATAATCCGGCCCTCTAGTAGTTTGAGGGACTGTGACCTGGCCCTCTGTTTAAAACGTTTGAGGACCCCCTGCTCTATATCATAACAATCCTTTGAAGACATTCTTCTAGGCCGTCCCTCCCACTCTGCTTCTTCCACATTTGCTAGCTTTCCTCATCATGGACTTTGGGCAGAGATGTCAAGGTGTGGCCCTTTCCTTCCCACCTGCAGCCGAGTTCCCCGAGTGCCAGGCAGGTAAGTCATCACACGTGTGTGCCTCTGCTCAACATGTGACCCCATTCATGAACCGAAAAACCCTCTTCTGTCCTTTCCTTTCGGTGCGCTGTGCTCAGATGTCAGGGTGTGGGCGGCAATAGAGTTAACAGCTTTTGTGTCAGAGCTGGCATTGCAACAGGCCTGTATGTTTGTTTGGGCCATGTATATTTCATCCCCAAAGGGGAACAACATGTGGTTAATTGGGCAAGTCAGGAGAATGACACTTGTAATGGCAAAAGTCCAGCGGAGCTCATGCAAGTCTGCTTTGGCAGCAAGGCGTTCTTTGGAAAGGAGTGCAGCATCCTAGAAAAACTCTTTCCCTTTCTCTCTCTCTCTTTCTGCCTCGCTTTCTCCATGATACATCAAGCTCGGTGAGCGGAGCCAAGAACCCACACCCTCTGTGCTCTCATTCTTCGCCTGCTTGTGAAGAACACGGATTTATTCTTTTGGTGAGAAGGGGAGAGAACGGCAACCTAGAAGAGAGGAGCAGATAGATGTGGAGGCATCCCTCCCAGAAGCAAGCTGGCTGGCAAACCTGAATTGCCAGCAGGGAGAGTGACTGAGCAGCCAAGCAGCTGCCCTGAGTTTCAGCCTGCTTGTGGTGCAGGTTTTTCAAGTCGCACGCACCTGCCTGTCACACACGATATATCTTATTTATTTTTATACGCACACACATATATAAGGGTGCCGTTTGAGGTAGCCACCTACACAGGTACTTAAATATTCACCCAGAACGCCAGCTGCTTGAAGAAGATCTTGGTTGCTTCCCAGGTAAGTGCTTGGCTTGAAAGAATGCATTGATGGGATCAATAGCGCAGGCAAGAGTGGATGGTCCTCTTCAGGGATGCTTCTGCCCAGATGCTGACAGACAGCTAGGAATCCGGAGTATGTAATAGAGCCTGGGCTTTGAGTGAAAGGACTTTGAGAAGATTTTAGAAAGGAGGAAGTCGGGTGTTCCCAGGTTGTTTGTTCCAAGAGAGAAAGCTTTTCGTCTCCTACTTTTTTGCTGCTGCTTCTGTTGCTGTTGCATTTATTCTAGAGCCCATAAAGCTCTGTCCCACAACCAGAAGGGGTAAAGTCTCCTTCTTTGGAGACCTTTAAGCACAGGCAATCTTTCAGGGCTAGAATGTGCCCAGGGAAGGGCGACTAAAATGGTCAAGGGTCTGGAGAACAAGCCCTATGAGGAGTGGCTTAAAGAGCTGGGCAAGTTTATCCTGCAGAAGAGAAGGCTGAGACATGATTATTATTTTTTTGGCGTGTCAGGAGCGACTTGAGAAACTGCAAGTCACTTCTGGTGTGAGAGAATTGGCCGTCTGAAAGGACGTTGCCCAAGGGACGCCTGGATTATTTGATGTTTTATCATCTTTGTGGGAGGCTTCTCTCATGTCCCCGCATGAGGAGCTGGAGCTGATAGAGGGAGCTCATCCGCCTCTCCCTGGATTCAAACCTGCGACCTGTCGGTCTTCAGTCCTGCCGGCACAGGGGCTTAACCCACTGCCCCACCGGGGGCTCCTACAAGACATGATGAGAGCTATGGATAAATATATGAGGGGAAGTCATAGGGAGGAGGGAGTGAACTTGTTTTCTCCTGCCCTGGARACAAGGATGCGAAYAATGGCTTCGAACTACAGGAAAGGAGAGTCCACCTGAATGTTAGGAAGAACTTCCTAACTCTGAGAGCTGTTCAACAGTGGAATTCTCTGCTTTGGAGTGTGACAGAGGCTCCTTCTTTGGAGGCTTTTGAACAGAGGCTTGATGACCATCTATTGAGGATGCTTTGAATGCGATTTTCCTGCTTCTTGGCAGGGGGTTGGACTGGATGGCCCATGAGCTCTCTTCCAACTCAAGGATTCAATGATTCTATGACAAGGTATTGTCGAAGGCTTTCATAGCCRTAATCACTGGGTTTTTGTAGGTYTTTTGGGCTGTATGGCCATGTTCAGAAGCATTCTCTCCTGACATTTCGCCTGCATCTGTGGCAAGCATTCTCAGAGGTTGTGAAGTTTACAAACCTCACAATCTCTGAGGATGCTTGCCACAGATGCAGGCGAAACATCAGGAGAGAATGCTTCTAGAACATGGCCATACAGCCTGAAAAACCTACAACAACCCAGATTCTATGACACTTTGGAAGACATTTTCTTAAGGTGTGCAGATATGAATGTGCCTTCCCAAGTAATGAGTACTTGGATACTTTAATAATTATTTTTGACAATAACCATGCGATGGTATTAAGTATCAAACATCATTACATTGCTGACATGAAATGGCAGTTATTATATGACTACTGCCATGTAAGGGTGTTTATTATATGGCTGCTGACATTAAAAGGATTTAATATTTGCAAAAGCAAAGAACTGTTCCTAATCAGTCCAAAGCAATCACAGGTTGGATGCCATATTTAAAATAGAAGTCTAAATTTATATTGAACACTGAATAGACTCTTTCCAGTTTTGTTTAGGAAAATGGAAAATGTCCAAACCTGATTTATTTCTGAACATTTCTGGACACTGGGTTGCTGTGAGCTGTATGGCCATGTTCCAGAAGCATTCTCTCCTGATGTTTTGCCTGCATCTATGGCAGGCATCCTCAGAGGTTATGAGGTCTGTTGGAAACTAGGAAAGTGGGGTTTATATATCTGTGGAAGGTCCAGGGTTGGAGAAAGCACTCTTGTCTGGTGGAGGCATGTGTGAATATTGTAATTGACCACTTTGAATAGAATTTAATGGCCCAGCAGTTTCAAGGTCTGGCTTCTTACTGCCTGGGGGTATCCTTTGTTGGGAGGTGATTAGCTCTCCCTGATTGTTTCTTGCCTGGAATTCCCCTATTTTTGAGTGTTTTTTATTTAATGTTATGATTCCCCACCCTGGACATACCTCAGATATACAAACCTCAATTTTCTAGTTTCCAACAAATCTCACAACCTCTGAGGATGCCTGCCATAGATGCAGGCAGAACATCAGGAGAGAATGCTTCTGCAACATGGCCATACAGCCCAGAAAACTCACAGCAACCCAATGATTCTGGCCATGAAAGCCTTCAACAATACATTTCTGAAGATGGCTTTCAAAACATTGTTAATCCAACTGCCCCGAGTTTCTGGAAGTTTAATGACAGCCTTGGGAGAAGATGAATGCACTCAACATTTGTGAACAATTGTTTATTTACAAAGCATTGAGTGGAGAGAAGCAGGAACACACTATGAATAGCCAAGCAAATTTGAGTCCCTTCATGTGCAAGCTTTTAGTCCTTGAAGTTTTATCAGTCAGGAACTGCCTAAATGTCATAAAGGCATAAGATCCCATATGATCTTGGAAGCAAAGAGGGTCATTGATGGGAGACCACCAGAAAATATCAGGTGTTGCAGCCTATATTTGAAAGGACAGGAACTGACAGGATCTGGGGATTCCTTGACTTAAAAATGTTACAGAATTCGTGGGGTCATCATGAATAAGCAGCCAACTTGAAAATGCATAAACACACACAGCTAGACAAACAAGTTTGCTTCTCTATCTGCCTAGAGTGTTTCCTTTAACCATCATCTAAGTAGTAATCGATGAATGACATACATTTTAGTAGCAAATCACCACTAACCATCACAGGTAATTAGCATCTAAGTAGCTAGACAGAAACTTAGAAAGGAGATTATATTATATCCAAAAATTGTATATTGGAAAGTTGGAATGACTCTTTCTGACCAATGCTTTTTGAGTATCACTTGTCAAATGCTGCCATTGTTGTTTCTTTGGTAAATGTCCCTGTGTGGTTTTCATATATTGAATGGAGCCGCGATGGCACAATGAGTTAAACCCTTGTGCCGGTTGAACTGCTGACCTGAAAACATTTTTTTTTGTCGAGTCAGGAGCAACTTGAGAAACTGCAAGTTGCTTCTGGTGTGAGAGAATTGGCCGTCTGCAAGGACGTTGCCCAGGGGACGCCTGGATGATTTGATGTTTTTATCATCCTTGTGGGAGCTTCTCTCATGTCCCCACATGAGGAGCTGGAGCTGATAGAGGGAGCTTATCCACCTCTCCCCAGATTCGAACCTGCGACCTGTCGGTCTTCAGTCCTGCCAGCACAGGGGTTTAACCCACTGCGCCACCGGGGGCTCCTACCTGAAAACATGAAGGTCAGCAGTTCAAATCTGCAACATGGGTGAGCTCCCACCTGTCAGCCCCAGCTTCTCCTGCAATATATACTGTATTGTATATATATACATACAATATATATTGTATGTACAGATAGCTGGTAAGCTGCTCTGCATCCCCTTCAGGGTGAGAAAGATGTCATATAAATGTCATAAATCTATATAAATAAAAATGTAATGTTTATTTGTGGGATTAACATAACTCAAAAACCACTGGATGAATTGACACCAAATTTGGACACAATACACATATCAGGTCAACGAGTGAGCATCACTCATAAAAACACTGGAAAACATAGCAGAAAAGACTTCAAAATCCAAAAAACAAAAAATGCATTACAATCCATGCACAAAACCACATATATATGCAAACACACATATATACACACAAAAAACACATATACACAGACAGGCCCACAGCAATGTGTGGCAAGGGACAGCTAGTAAACAAACAAACAAACAAACAAACAAACAAACCTCCCATAGGATGATAATACATCCGGGCTTTCCCTAGGCAACGTCCCTGCAGACGGCCAATTGTCTCACACCAGAAACAACTTGCAGTTTCTCTTGTTGCTTCTGACACGATCAAAAAACAGTATATTGAATAATTCAAGAGGGAACTCATGAAATAATGTGCCACATAGTGAGAGAACCATGTGGTCATTCTCTATAGAGGGAATGGATGTGTTTCCCTATACAGATTGCCTGAATTCCACTATATATGGTTAGGGGTTGCCAGCTGTTTGCTCTGCAGAGGATGGAAAAAGCAGGGGAGGCTAAGAATAGCAACTTGAGCCGTGAGTTGCAGGCAGCATGATCCACGGCCCATTGAAAGATTGTGCTGAACACAGCAGGGCGGCGGACTGTGGATGCATTATTCAGGCATGCCCTTGTCAAATCAGGGCAAAAGAAAAGGGAAGCCAACAACAAAGTTTCTCTTCCCAATGAAATTAGATGCCTGCCATTGTTTCGGCAAAGCAGCCACCAGCCAAATGCCTCCCATTCAAATGAGCCCTTCCAACGAACAATATTTGTTTGATGTGCTTGTGGCCGTTCCCTAGGCAGCCTCCACAAAGACCGGCAGCAAGAGGAGCTCCGACAGGCAGGTGCCCGGGAGGGCTTGGCAGGGCTCTCCGGGTGAGTCCAAATGAGGGAACAGAGTGTCTGTCAGGTATCTTGTTTCCACCTGTACCAAGATGCCAGGCAGACACAGGGCACCTTTTCAGAGTTCACCTGGGGTGAGGGGAGGGAGTCTAAGCAAGGATTGAAGGGCCACTCTCAGGCAGACTCATAATTATCATACGGGTGGGAAGAGCATATGTTTGCAAAGTCATAATAATAGCGCAGCAATGTTCTCAATGCGAATCCAAGAGTGTCCTTCTTAAGCAATGAGGCCTCTACTTTTGACATACCTAAAAAAGCAAATCCATTTTTCCATAGCAGTTCTGTTGTTCCATATTGGTTTGGTTATATCAGCATTTCTCAACCTGGTCGGCACCCCTGGGGGGGGGGGGTTGCGAGGAGGTGTCAGAGGGGTCACCAAAAATAATTGGAGAACACAGTATTTTCTGTTGGTCATGGGAGTTCTGTGTGCCAAGTCTGGCCCAATTCCATCATTGGT